TGACCTTGAACCTCTGGGCTCAAACATTTCTGTCTCAGTCAAGTAACTGGGATATAGGTGTTCATCAATACCTGACTTAGTACTTTGAGTATAATTGGGGACATTAGATCATAGACTAAATAACTCTCCTTGGAGTGTGAAATGCTTAGACTATCCTTTTAAAGAGCAATACAGAAGCTAGAGAGACGGCCCAGTGGTTAAGAGTACTGGCTGCTCTTTCCAGAAGACCTAGGTTCAGTTCCTAGCACCTACATGGTGGCTGTGCTGGCTGGTCTTATGGCAACTGGACACACAAGCTGGAGTTATCTGAAAGGAGGGAGCCCCAACTGAGAAAATGTCCCCATAAAGTCTAGCTGTAAGGCATTTTCTTCATTAGTGATGGATGGGGGAGGGCCCAGTTTGTGGTGAGTAGGCTCATTACCAGGCTAGTGGTCCTGGATTCTATAAGAAATCAGGCTGAACATGCTATGTGGAGCAGGCCAGTAAACAGCTACCCTCCATGGCCTCTGCATCAGCTCCTGCCCTGTTTAAGTTCCTGTCCTGACTTTCTCTGATGAACAGCAATATGCAAGTGTAAGGTAAATAAACCCTTTCCTCCCCAACTTGCTTTTTGGTCATGGTGTTTCATTGCCGCGATAGAAAGGCTAAGACAGTGGCTCACAGCCATGAAACTCCAGCCCCCGGGGGATTCAGTGTCCTCCTCTGGCCTCCAGGGTATCTGAACTCACATGCACATATTCATGCAGATAATTAAAAATAAAATATTTAAAAAGGGAACAAACTGAGGGCTGAAGAGATGTCTTAGCACTTAAGAGTGCTTGCTGCTCTTGCAGACTGAAGTTCAGTTCCCAGCATTCATGGGAGGCTCACAGCTACCTGTAACGCCAGTGCTAGGAGATCTTACAACCTCTTCTGGTCTCTGAGAGAATTAGCAACATACGTGTCCATACACACAGAGAAGCACACATATACACACGTAAACAAATAATAAGGCTGGACAGTGGTGGCACATGCCCTTAATCCCAGCACTCAGAAGGCAGAGGCAGGTGAATATCTGTGAGTTTGAGGGCAACCTGGTCTACAGAGTAAATTCTAGAACAGCTTAGGGCTACACAGAGAGACCCTGTTTTGAAAAACCAAAAACAAATAATAAAAAATGGATGCCCAGGTCTGGAATGATGGCTTAGTGGTTAAGAGAGCATCCTGCTCTTGCAGAAGACCTGGGTTTGGTTCCCAGTATCAACCGAGTAGCTCACAACTGTCTGTATCTCCAGTAACTCCAGTTACAGGGAATCCGCCATCCTCTCTTACCTCATGTGCTCATGTGGCACACATATAGTTATGTAGGTTCATTTACACACAAACGAAACAAAATCTTCCATGACCCAAGTTTGATTCCCCAGAATCAAATCCTTCCCTTATGGTGGAAGGAGAGAAGTGACCTCTGACCTTCACACAAGCACCTGGCACAAAATACTTTATTAAGGGAACAACAAGGGGAGAAGGATCAGATGGGAAAGTGCTGGAATGTGAAGAATCTTTTTGTTCAGGAACTGGAGCATGTTGGACGCTGCCTGATGGTGCCCACAGAAGGCTCGCGGCTCCCCAGAGTCTCAGGGGCAAGGGCAGAGGTAGAGGCAGAAGTAGACAGGTTGGCCTCTGTCAGCAAAGCCGCATCTTCCCAGGAGCCTGAGCCAGGAGGGGCCAAACAAGACCGCAGATGAGAGAGGCTGACAGGGATGGAGTGGCACCCCCGCCACACTTCACCCCGTTATACAGTGCCCCTCACCGTCACTAGCCTCCCGCTCTGGCTCCTCCTCTCCATTCTGGGGCTGCTTCTGTGGTTTCTCTTCCTCAGACAGCCGGCCCTCTTCAGTCAAAAAGGGAACAGAGGTGTGACGGAGGTGAGACCCAGGCACTGAGGGGGCTGCTTCGGAGGAGCCAGGGGAGGGACTGACTGCATCATACCTGTTCCTGAGGGGTCCTCGGGGCCTTCACCTTCCTCTGTCATGTCTGACTGCGGCGTAGACTCCTCCTGGCCTTCAGGTCCGGCAAAGAGAGGACAGCTAGGCTCCGCGGGCAGCTCGGCCTGCAGTGCCTACTGCGCGCCTCCAGCCTTTCCTCACACCCTCCATTTCTGAGTGGGTGTGCTCTCCACGAGAGGCAGGCAGGCCCTCAACCCGGCTAACCTACCTCTCACTGATGCCGCCAACCACCCCTTTACCTGGCTGCTGGCGAGAGAGCCGGCGCTGGGCACCGTGGCGCGAGCTGTCCCTTTGCCGGATGTTAACCTGCGGAGGAGGAACCGGGAGCAGTGAAGCCTGACGTCCCCCTGCAGTCACCATGCCCTGTCCCCAACCTCATCACCGACAAGGGCCGCCAAGGAAGAAGCCCAGGGTCCCTGCCCCTGAGACCTGCAGGGAGAAGCGGTGCTGGGGCCAGATGCCCCCCCACACCCACTGCATGTAGCTGAAGAGCACGATGACGCTGAGGAACGTGAAGTTGCTGGCGACACCCACAAAGGCGCAGGTCATAGGGAAGTTGTAGAGCAGGTACCTAGGTGGGAAACAGGGCCAAGGAAGGGAGCAGCAGTTAGCAGATAGCACTAGCCTCTACCACTCCAGAAGTGTCTGCAGGACAACGTGGGTGTGGCTGGAGCTGCCCTCTGCCACTATGGCACCCACTTCCTCGGCCCAATCACCAGACCACACCACACCAGGTTCTAACAAAGGCCAAGGGCTTCCGGCAGCCTCGGTATCACAGGGCCACAGTATTATACTGGTTTCAGCTGTGACCCCTCTTGTCCTCCAACTCTTGCTGAGCCAATGGAAGAAGGCCGTGGGATCACACAGGGATTTTATCAGGGTGGATCTCACTGTGTCGCCTGAGCAGCAGGGACTAGACAGAGGGCCCTGCACAGCTCACGTGCTCCCTTCTTGTCTTCTCATATGTACGTTGACAGTCTTGCTTTGTAGCTCAAGATTTCTTGTTTAGGCCCCCCAGCGCTGTAATGACGGGGTGTGCCATCTCGTGTGAGATTTTAAAAAATGGGGCTGCAGAGTTGGCTCAGTGGTTAAGAGGACTTTATCCTTGGAAAGCATCCACCAGGTTCAATTCCTAGCACCCACATGGAGGCTCCCACCTCCTTAGGCACAAGGCGTGCACGTGGTACTCATGCAGGCAAAACATTCATACACACAACATAATAAATTAAAAAAACCTTTTTGTTGTTTTTCAAGACACGGTTTCTCTGTGTAGCCTTGGCTGTCCCAACTCACTTTGTAGACCAGGCTGGCCTTGAACTCACAGAGATATACCTGCCTCTGCCTCCTGAGTGCTAGGATTAATGTATATGAGTGTTTGCCTGAATATATGTACATGCACCACATGGATGCCTGGTCTCCCTAGAGACCAGAAGAATACATCAGATCCCCTGGAACCGGAGTTACAGACAGTTATGAGCTGCCATGTGGGTGCTGGGAATTGAACTGAGGCCCTCTGGAAGAGCAGTCAGTGCTCTTAATTGCTGAGCCATCTCTCCAACGCCTCACATGGCATTCTTAAGAAGCTCTTTTGAAATTCAATACACATAATGAAACTAGGGAAGAGAGCCTCTGGCCTTTGTAAACTATGATGTGACATTACTAGTCACTTCTGCCTGGAACTCTCCTCATTTGGGGGCAGTGTGGGAGCCCGTTCTGGGGTTCCTCGTGGCTTTACCCAGCAGGTCCAAATAGAGGATGATCAGGACCACGGGCCTGAGTGCAGGTGTCTGAGATGGTCTGCACTTGGCTGTGCTGGGGGAGGAGGTCTTTTGCTCCACCCCTTGGCGTCTCT